CTGGCTAACCAGATTTTCGATTTGACCAACCACGTTGTCGAATATCTCAGTGATGTGGCCGCTAAGTAAACAGGTTTAGTCTCTATTCTAGTAGGTTGTGCATCTTTCACGAAGCGAGAAGACGATGGATCTTGCTCCTCACCTCTGAAGTGTTATGTCAGGTCGGTTAAGTCTCATGGCACATGAGTAGGGGAGTGTGACTGTAAACTCTTTGTCGTCGCCGTCGAACTGTTGCTTGATTCCGTGCTCCCAGCAGTCATTTACCATTTTCTTCAGTTCGGACTTGGAAATATCGCCCCAGACGTTTGCTAGCCGCTTACTTATCCAGCGCTCAAAGTCCTGGTCGAGAAATACCGCCCCACACAACCCGCCTGTCCCTTCGACGCACTCACTGAGCGTAAGAGGACCCACAGAGTCGACTTTGTAGCTGATAAGGTCCTGGATGGATTGTCAGTAAAGCGGTTACCCGACCATTCGATCGAGAGTTAAGTAACTTGGACTCACCACCGTACCGCCTCCAGCATCAACAACGACGATTGCATCTCCCGCTTGAATATCAGGGCGTCCTTCCATTGTTGAAAACGTAGAGATAGCCCCTGCTTCAGGTTCCGATAGTAGATCAAACGTGGTCGGTCCGCACTCCCGTGGGACGAGGAGCCCTGCCTGCTTGACAGCGTCCACCATCCGTTGTCTCGCAGCGTCCTTCCATATGGCCGGGATGGTTACAACAACGTGAAACGGGCACTCGTTCACCACATCTCCCACCGTGGCCTGAACGTGCTTGAGGGCGTGTATCCACAGCTCCCTGAGATATGCCGCGATCACATGTACCGGCTGAAGGTTCTCTCTGCGAATTCTCTCTCGAGCGTCGCTCAACTGTTTTGACCCTCTCAGATACGACTGGAGCGCATCTTCCTCCACGAGCAGGAGCTTGAACCACCGTAGCGGGTCCACGTGAGTCGGGACATCGTAGCCCCAAGAAATGTGCCGGCGCCCTGCGGTCTCGATGTGGACTTCGGAGGGGGTCTTCTCGCGATCGGAATTTCCGTACAGCTTGCTGGGCCAGCTGGTGACGACGTAAATCTCGCTCGGTCTTCCAGACCACGCCCAGGCTACTCCAGAAAAACTATCAGAGTTTGGATAACCCAAAAAATGTTAGCAAACATGGCTTTGCTTGTCGGCTTCGGATAATCACAACTTGGATGGATCAATTAAAGTTAGGGACCCTACGTCGTTCCAAAGTCTATCCCGAAGCAGATGACAGATCGGGTACTCATGGCGCACCTCGGGGAGATGAATTGGTCTGGATGGACAACTTAGAAACGACGGAGCGCAGTTGGCAGTTTACATTGAAGTTTCGACGGAGGAGAAAGGAAAGTCAGATTGCTCGCCTCTCGCAACCCTCCAGCGCCGGCGGAAGGCCGGGGGATGACTGGGAGGCAGCCAGTATCACAGTAGGCTCCAGAGATAGTGCAGAAATATGTTCAGCTGTCGAATCAACCTTGCGAAGTTGCCTGCCAACGAAGACCTGCATGCGTGATGGTGCCAATGCGGCGATGCGACGACTGCGCATCCAGACACCTAGCTACCTACCTTACTTATAAACCCTTACCAACCGGGCGCGTCATAATACATGACAAGTCACGGTTTTGGAAAACGCCTTTTGTCTCGGCATAAGGTGGGCTGTGGGAAGGCTTGGAGAAGGGATAGGACGCCACAATAGCAGCTTTGCATGGCGCCTTACCGACTTGGAGCACGTCGTGCATCAAAATTCGGGGGAACTAGTCCTATCTGGCTGAACTTGGTCTGCGGACCGATTTGGGACGGACGAGGCTGTCATATGGCCACCCCGAGAAGTGGCAATATGATGTTTGTCGTTGCCGAGAGCGTGAGTCCGACAATCGAGGCAAAAATATGGATGCCATCCTTCCATCGTGAAGCGGACCTCTCTTTACGGACCTTGTCCCGGATCTCGGCCTGCATGCTCGAGGTCAGGCGGACCCTGCTGGCCATAACGGACTGTCTCTTCGTCCGCAATTTCTCCAATTTCTTCTCCATCTCTCTGCGCTTGCGCTCGTCTCCCCGCCGTCTTGCGAGCTCGGCATCGGCTTCCAGCTTTTCCATGTCTTTGGTTAACCCATCGAGCCGCTTCTCCAGTCGTTCGACCACGAAGCGACCAACCGCCGTCGCCTCCAGAGCCTTGCCTTGTTCCATGACGTCCTTTTGGACCTGCAGAACAATGTTGTCCTTTTCCAGCAGTCTGCAAACCAGCCCCTCGGCCAAGCTCGCGCTGGCAGGATGGAACTTGCGGACGTGGGAGCCGTGTTCAACCATGGAGCTCCAGTATTCCTCCCGGAGCTCCTGCTGCCGCCTCATTCCGACGCCCACATGTTCCAGCTGGTCCCACATGGTAGTCAGGAGGATGACGTTGCCAAAGGCTTCCTCTCCGCACAGCTCTTGGAAGATGTTGAAGTGCGTGAGCGCGGAACCTTGCATTCTGACATCCGTAATTCGGTGGAGGAAGATGATGCCTCGCAACTTGATGCCAGACTCGTACTGGGCGGCGAGAAACTGCGTGATATCGTCGAGTATCTCCGCGTCCGTCCGGTAGGTATCGTCGAATCCAGGTGTGTCAACAACGTAAACGAGCTCTTGACCCATCTGGACAGGGACGATTTGACACTCCTCGGTCTCTACGCGCTGATGGTCAGCTCTCGACGGGGAGAGAAGGGCGCAGGAGAGGGATCAGAAAAGATGGAGAACTCACCAGACCTGAGATTCGATCCTTCCACAGCTGAGCCGGGCATCAGGTAATTCACGAACCTGGACTTTCCAGATCCTGTGGTTCCCATCACCAAAATCATCGGTGCATCAGTCTCGAGTTCCATGACAAGATGTTTTGCAGCTGTCCGTGTTGACGCAGAACTGTTTGTGTCGCGTAGTGGAGGAAACAAGATGAGCTGGATAGTCTGATTCTGGGCCACATCGGTCTTAGTACTGGGCAGTACCTACCTACCTGAGTAGCTTCGTAGATTGACTGGTTGAGTTTGGTGTAGGAAAGTTCTTTTTCAGACCCCTCGTTTATACAACCACGAATGGGGTGAGGCAAGAAATCAGGCGGCCTCTGCAAGTCGTTAAGCAGCCCAGCCGGCCTCAATATTATGCATGCCGCTCGGCCACTTGGCCACGCCCGAGTCTGGGCATGTACGGGTAAGCGCTAGAGGAGAGCCCGCCTCCATGTTTTGCGGGAGGAGTCCTCTTGCTCATCTTCGTGGTGAGTTGTCTCAAGATCGTGTGCCCTGCCGTTTGCCGGAATCTTCAAGTCGTAAGCTGAATTAGCACATTTGCGGACTGTGTGAGTAAAAGCTCACCTTCCACACAGGCTCCAAACGACATTCCATCTTACCTTGATCAAACTCACTACTACCGCAGCTGAAGGCAACTAGTGGAAGAACGGGGAGCCTCATTCATACCGTGAACAGGACACAGGATCAACCCTGCAACCGATCAAAAGCAACGCAACGGCACAGTCCAGAAGATGAGGGTCAACAAAGGAGGCTTGACAGCATCAAAGTAAGCGTTCATTATGGGTACTAAATGGTATTCAGGTCAAATACATCTAACCTCTTCAGTCCGTCCATCGACCTCAATAAAATACTACCGCGCACTTCGAGCAACAGGCTGCTGCCACAAAGCGACACCGTGACCAAGGGCTACCCACCTAATAGCACACGGTCTGGCGTTGCTAGCGACAGCCCCCACGGCAGCCCTCGACCCAACAACGATGTAGAATCCCAACTGAGAGCAGAGCTGAGGCAGAAAGATGAGATCATCGAGAAGCAAGAACAAAAGATATCGAAGCTTGTGGACGATCACATGAACACTCAGTTGGAGTTTCGAAAGGTAGCCTATCTCGACGATACCGATCTGATAGGCTCGTGGAAAGCGCTCGAACAGCGCATCAACCAACTGATCCCAAGACTATACGACGCGAGTGCCAGAGACCCGGTCAGCGTTGGACAGCTAGCGACACTACTCGGAAAGGTCTGCGGAGCAGATCTCGTCAACCGCCCGGAGCTGAATTCTCAACTTCGTCGTCAACTAATCGAAGCCTATATCTGGCGTGCTCTCCTCACTGATGTCTTTGGGGCATCGGGTTATATCTGGGCGGGGAAGGCACATGTCGCCATTGCGAACCTGAGGTCAGAACTGGAAGGTAAATTACATATGGAAAACCCACTCATGATGTATCTCCCCAAGAAGAACCCAAATTAACCACCCATCTAATACAGATTACGAACGGGACGACCTTATCGACGGCGGCGAATACATCCAGTGGTTCTCCCGAACCGCGGCGTTGATGGACTTCGTCTGGCGGAGCGATCCGAGATGCTCCGAGAGGCTTCGCAGCGTCGCCCGGAAACTCAGGCAAGAGCTTCGGCTTCTCGAGAAGTCGAACGTCGAGGAAGGGAGCGTCGAGCGAGAATTAATGAAAGTGGTGACGACCGCCTGCGGGTTGGATTTCACCATGGCCAAGTCCAACGCCAGCTACACCGTCTTCATGTACGACGTGCGCGACACCTCACCGAAACCGCCACCATGCAAACTGCACGGCATGCCGTTCGACTCGGAAAACATGGAGGACACTTACTACCCTGGCGCCCAGCCGTGGAATCTCCGGAGCAGGGTGGATGTGGTCCGGAGTCCTGGGATCATTAAGATTGGAAGCGGGCTGGGGTCCGAGTACGGCAAACCCACTGTCTTGGTGAAGAGGAAGGTTCTTTGTCTCCCTTAGCGTACTACGAAAAACTTGGTCTTCTTCATAGTCCGATGCCACTCGTAGATCTATTATAGACGGGTTCTGTTGGGAGGAAGTCGAGGATGCGATGGCCCGGGTCAGGGGTTGTAGATAGATAAACGGAGGTCAATAGGCAGGGTCAAAAGTTTGGCTAAAAGAACAGCAAAAAGAAGACCGAACATTGGTTCGGTAAAACGAAATTTGGACGAGCTAAGAATCGAACTCAGGACCTTTCGCATGTTATTCTCCAAGTGTTTACCTTGAAGCATGCTAAGCGAACGCTCTACCAACTGAGCCACACGCCCTTGTTTTGTGATGAAGGGTCCGAGTCAGAGAATCCAGTCATGAGTCAGGCTGGGAAGTCAGGCTGGGAAGTAGTGGATTTCCTGCCCGACTACATCTGGGTTAGGCAAACTGACTCACAGATGGATAAAAAAGTGGAACAAACAAACTTTTCTCATCAACCCACATATCGTACGGCCCGAATAAAAGGTGGAATACACGATACAGACAGGTATTAACACGCAAAGCACCAAGCAGGCAAGATGGCCGAGCGGTCTAAGGCGCCACGTTAAGGTCTTTCAAAACCTTGATAACTTCAGTTATTACTGGATTCCGTGGTCCGAAAGGGCGTGGGTTCGAATCCCACTCTTGTCAAGAATGGTGTGATATCTCTTCCTTTTGGTACTCCACGGCAGTGGCTTGCGGATTGGATTCTTCCTTTTTCTTTCTCATCTCTTTGTTTGGGTAGTTTGTTGTGTCTTCCCTTTTATGTTGTGTGGACTTTTCTCACTGCGAAAACCAGTCCAAGTAGAGAGAGATCTGCTTGTTGGCATCGACTTTTGTTTGTTGCACGATTTGGAAGGGGAAAAGAAAATTCGAAAACGGGTCAGGGTAGAAGGGGTGAAAAGTGGGGCGCTGTGTGGTATTGTTGACATGCCTTTGTCCTTGGATCAGAGGTGTGCAGGACCAGTGATGGCTGATGAGATGAGACGAGACACTAAACATGTTCAAAGGAAGGGACAGGCGACAGGTTTGGTATGTATTCATATGAACGGATCTGATAGTCCATGAAAAAATGAAAAGAAAATGAAAGAAAAGAAAATGAAAGAAAAGAAAATGAAAGAAAAGAAAATAAAGAAAAGAAAATGAAAGAAAAGAAAATGAAAGAAAAGAAAATGAAAAAAAAAAAAAATTTGAAAGAAAAGAAAATGAAAAAAAAAAGATGACATTAAGCACTGAGACATTGAATCACTCGTCTCAATCTCGTCGTCTGTTGCTGACCATTCGCAGTGCAATCCTATCTCACAGCCGGGCAGCCGGAGGAGCGGATGGGATCTGCCCGCGCAGTCTAGAGCATCTAATCAATTTCCTTCCCCACCATGTTCAACCCATCCACCTTTCCCTGCTCTGCGTCTCGCATTCTTGTCCTGTCTTCACGTCTCCACTGATGGCCGATGGACTTCCTCACCTCTCTTGCTGGTGGGTTCAAGCCCGGACATCTTCTTGCCTCATCATCATGACGAATTTGTAATATATACCTAGTCATTTCATGGTCGTAAGTGTCGTTCATCGCGTCGTCAAATAGTAGTCGTCTGTTCGTCCTTCGTTGTGTTCAGTCGTTGGGGCAAGAAATATGGTGTGATGACAAAGTCGGTCATTGTCGCCGAAAGGAAAACAAAAGGCCCTCCTTCAAAGCTTGGATGTAACTAATAAATAGACAAGGTCAGCTAGAGTCTGGGCGTATGCCACAGAGGGATGCGATGCCTAACTCACCTTTCCAGTCTTGCCAATCCATGTCGTCAAGCTCAGACAGGTCCGTGAAGTCGGTGCAATCCGAGGCAGCGTCGTCCAGGGGTGTTTCGAGGCAGGTATCTTCTTGAGCGTGAAATAGGGGTGGTTTGAAGAACGCATTATCATGGCTGTGAAATACATACACGAAGAGGACCAAGAATAACTCTCGGTCGAGGAAGAAGCCCCAACTCTTGGAAGTCGACATGCTGTTTTCTGATGTGCCTGGTTGGCTGGTGAGTTCAGCTGGCTTCATGTTCTCAAAGGTGGAACCCCATGGGTCGGACGATGGGATGGGGCGAAATTTGTACTCGTTCAGGTGATCTCAGATTTTCCTGTCCTGAGAAAACCTGACTGGTCCACGTATTTTTTCATTAATGTTTTGATAACAATTTTGTTGGTGCTAATTTTCACACAGTAACACGTAACATACATGATTAGCCGCGCTGAGATGCGGCTGTCAGGGAGCTGTATTACGTTGGTTCACACCGCGACGGTAGCTCACCGTCTGTCTTGACGTATGTTGGACCAACGCCAACTGAGCTTTAAGAACCAACAACTTTTTTTTCACGCTCCACTTTGTTTGTTTTCGCGTCATTCCAGTGGTCGACGCGAATAGTTTTGGCGTTTCTCAAACAACGAGACGACAACACAACTAATCCGAGCACCTTGTGCTTTTCAGATGTTCTTGTCCATGAGTACGCCCGAGAAAAGTGGACGACCAAGGAGACAACCCCGGCGATGCGATGCCTTGCAGGAAATGCACAGTGGTTGAAAACGAAGACGCGCCTGCACCTAACGAGCGGATCCCAAGCCCCGGGCGGTTGCATGTTAATACCTACGTAAAGCAACGTGAAATGAGGAGCGGTTTGAGGATGAAGTACAGTACTCATCAGAGAGGAAGCACAGAATCAGATCAAGAAGAGATCTATCATAATTTGACTAATAACTGCTCATCCACCAAGACACCACAAGAAATATGATATTGATATCCTGCACAATCCGCCTCTCATACTTGTTACAGTCTCCCATCCTCCCTCCCTGACATCCCTCACCACAGTGCTCAGCGGTATCCCCACACAGCCCATGACTGGAACAGCACCTCCCAAAAGTGGAAAAACGACAAATGACACTGCTGCCGCACCTCCCGTCGGTACTGACGGTATCGCAGCTCCCAAACTTGGCCTGGCACCTTATGCCGCAGTAAGCTGGCGAGGAACCGCACCGGCCCCATTTGGAACAGCACGCACCGAATCCCGACCTAGCGCAGCTGATGTTTCCCGCCGGTCCACCGCACGTGCCGTTGGTGCTCTCGTCCAGACCGCCGGGGTAGGTGTAGGTGTTGTCGCACCCGCCCCAAGCGCGGTCACACGTGTAAGGGGAGTAGTAGGCGGCCGAGTTGCCGCAGAACCATTCACACGAGCAGCAAGGACCCCATTGCGTCATGAACGGCAGCAAGGAGAACTTGGGGAAGCCCCAGAATGACAAGTTGCCAGCTGGCCGTCATGGCTGCAGCTATGGCGAATGATAAGCGACCGATTTGATTTGGGACGTGAAAATGTGAAATCGTTTTGTCAACGAAGGGGAGTCTACCAGCCCAGCCGACTGGAACCAGACTTATATACCCGGTTCCAGCCACAACATCAAAGTGTGGCTAGTTTATGGATCTTACTGATAACGTCTCGGCCTCAACAGTCTGGGTATTTATCAATAAACGTCAGCCCTAGTTAGCATTAAGTGTAACATCTCGCATTATCTCTCGGTCTCGGTCAGCAATATCGGAACTCTTAACCTGGGATACGGGAGCAATACCAGGGAGATTCAGGAATCGCCCCCACGCTCGGGGACACTTGAAGTTATCCTCTGAATGGGTGAATTAATATACTAGCATGTAATAGATAGGTAAGCAGCCGCCGAGGCATGCTCTCGCACTGCGCCGTCGGGGTTCATGTTCCCTCATACAGCTGGCTCGGCCCGTCTGGAGTCTGGAACCCGAAAAAATGGTCGGCAACCAGGGGCAGGAACTTCGCATCTCTGGATTGTGCGACTTAATCAGATTTAGCCACAACCAAGCCTCGTAGATAGTTCGTGAATTTAAATTTTCGGCACCGCATTTCTAGTGTCGAGCGGCGTGGATGGTGGCGAGATAGCAGTGGAGTGAAGTAGTATTCCCATCGACTTGGTGTGGGACTGTTCGGCGTCAGTGGGTGCATCGGTTTGCACAATGATACGAAGGGTAGTTGTTAGTGGCGTTTGAAGGACAGTAAATGGCAACTTGAAGCGGGCTGCCTGGTGCATGGCACTTTCAGTTGACATGGATGCTGTGGCTCTCAGCATGTGAAGGTGGCCGATCGATGGAGCTTGTGAAACCTGGTCATGGATATGGGCCGACGTTTTCTTTTTGTCGTGCTCCTTTGGGGTACTGTACTTGGGTTGATGTTTGGCTAAGAAGTCGATCGTTTTGTGAAAGCGAGAAGAGCTTAATTAACTACCCTATTATTCCATCTCAATATCCGAAGAAATTTCCTTAACCAACAAGAGTAGGAAGTGCAATTAAGAGCCAGTCTCCTTTGCTTTCCTTTCCCCTTCTCCACATCCTTGCCAACATCTTTCTTAGCCCTTCTTCGAAACATCTTCGGAAGGAGCCGACCATTTTCCGTCTTGTCGTCAGAACAAGGGTCAACGTCGTCTACTACTATTTCGTCTTCAATCGGTTCTGAACCTTTCTTAAAAAAAGTCAAGTTCCTTGCCGCCCAGTCCCGGAACTTCTTAGATCGTCGCACGCCACCGAGAGCGACTGCGGCGACGAGATAAGTGCCGCCAGCCACGGCGCCGAATATGGTCCAGAACTGTCGTTGTGTTCCGGAAATGTCGGCGGCATCGAACAAGTGCATTCCGTAGAAGGTCTGCAATTAGTGGTTTGATGGTAAAACAAGATCATCCATCATCTGCGGAAACGATAAATAGGCTACGTACCGCTATGAACGAGGGTGGGAGATGGAGGATGGTGACAATGGTAAAAACGAAAAGGTACTGATTGAGTTCGGTACTTTTACGAGCTTCTCGCACCGAAGAGGCCTTGAATAGCTATGAGAAAGTTAGAGATTGGTCTTCTTGGAGTATTAGCAGCAGGGCTGACATGGCACTTACACCGTCTCTCAGACTTTCAACGTCCCCAATCTTTCGCGAGATGCGATCCAACAGTTTATTTGCAGACTTTTCGTGGAGGTCTAGGACTCCAGTCCAGTTCTTCATGGTGGCATCACTCGTTATGCTGCGTCAGGACTGGTTCGCAAGGTCATTTATATCCATCGTACTGCGTGTTATCAGTTCCGAAAAGACGCGGAGTAGTTGTAGGATTGCGAAGTAGGATTCGGATATCTGCAGGCTGGAGTCGTCATACATGCGCTGTTGCCGGAAGGCTCGATCGAGGATTTCTTTAACCTGGTATTGTTTTTCTTTTTTTTTCTTTTTTTTTTTCTTTTTTTTTTCTTTTTTTTTTTCTTTTTTTTCA